AATTTATATATATATTTTATATTATATATATATATATATATATATATTATTTATTATAATTATAAAAAAATTATTTAATTTTCTATTAGTTAAAATCATTATTTAGTATTAATCTATTAAAAGAATATAACTGTTAGTAAAAGAAATTTTTATTTTTAATGATTTTAACATTCTTTTAATAATTATTTATTTTATTCACCATACCTTTAATGTATTAAAATACCATGTAAAATTAATATTTAAAAAAAATATTAAATTGTTCTTTTATTATTAAATTATTTTATATTTTAGTATTCTCAATTTTTTAAATATATATATATTTAAAATTTTTTAATATTAAAATGTTTATTATAAATTTTTTTTGTATTATTATTTTACTAATAATAAATATTTTTATAAAAATATTATTTTAAAATTAAATTATGATAAATAACATTATTTTTGTATTTAAACAAATTTTTTATATTAATAATTTAAATATAAATATTTTATTTTTTAAATATATTTTATATTTTTCATTATTTTTATCTTTATTATAGAAATATAAAAATATTAATTAGATTGAAATATTTTTAAATAAATTCTTTTATAATCTTAATAAAATATTATATTTAAAAACTATATTTTATATTTTTTTTTTTTATATTTATAATAAAATGTTAATCAATTTCTTATATTTTTTATATTTAAATCTATTATTTATTATTTAATATTATATGATATTATATTTTATATTTTTATTTTCTTTAATAAGTATACTATAATTTTTTTTTTTATTTCTTTTAAAATTTTTAATTATTATGTTTATTGATGCAGAATTTATTTAAACATTATTTTTTTTTAACAAAAATTAATAATAATTTTTTCATTTAAATATAAACGTGATTTAATTATTTTTTTATTTATAATATTATTCATTATTTATTTTTATATAGAATATATATTTTAATTTTATTTTATTATAACTTATAATATTTTTTAATTGTTTTTTTTTCTTTTTTCGATTGCAATATTTTTAATTTAAATTATTTTTATTAAGCGTATTTTATTTTGAAAATATAGGGAATATAAAAATAATATATAAAATATGTGTTTTAATTCAATTTTTTGATTAAAGTTTGTGAATAATATTTTTAAAACTCTTTTTATTAGACGTGTTTTTTTACTTAAGATTTTTTATGTTTAAGAAATTATATAAGTGAATAAAATATCTAGATTACTAAATATATAAGACAGTATATAATATTAATAATGGTTTTCATATTCTTTATAAGAGTGGGTTTAATAACTATTATTTCGGTTTATATATAACCTTAGAATAATATAGAAACTTTTATATATATACTATTTTTCTATTTTTATGTGTGATTTTTATAATGTAATAAGTTGTATTATTAAGAAACAAAACTAAAAAAAAAATAGTTTAAATAAATAATTTATTATAAATTTAATTTATATAAAAAGTTTTTGGATAATAAAAAAAGAAAGTATTTTTTAGTATTTTATTACCATAAATTGATATTAATTCAAATATTTTATAATTTTATAGATATATATAGAAATATTTTCAATTTAATTTATTTAATTATAAGAATATTAATTTATTTATATTTTTTTAAAAAATAATAGTGGAAGTATTTGATTAATATTTTTGTATTATAAAAGAAATATATATACAAATTATTTTTTATTTAAAGAATAAAATCATTTGAAAAACAATAAATTTTAAATAAAATATTAGACTATTATACTATTTTTTTTAAAAAAATACTAATTAATTTTTTTATTATTTTAAATTATAAAATACTTAAATTATTTACTCAATATACTTAAAAACTTATATTTATAAGTAAAGTAGATTATAGTTTAAGCAGAAAAATAAAGATGCTTTATTTAATAAAATAAAATGCATGCGTTACCCAACTAATATAAATTAATTTATTTTGATAAATTAAACATATAAAAATACGGAAATTAAATATATTAAATATATTAAAAATATAAAAAATATTAAATATATATATATATTTATTATTTATAATATTAAATAAATTAAATATATTAAATATATTAAATATATATATTTAATTATATATTTATACTTTTTTTTTATATATATATATTTATATTTTAATATAAAATATTTATCTTTTATGAAATTTAATTTAAAATCCTTATATTAATAATAATTATTTTATTTTAATTAATTAAATCATTTAAAAAAACTTTACTTTTAAAATTTAATGTAAACTATTAAATGAATGAAATAAAATAATTATTTTATAGAATAACATAAAATTTTAAAAAGTAATTAACATTTAAAATTAACATCTGTTTAATTAAATTCTTTTAAAATAAAATCTACTTTTCTTCTAATTCTTTTTATATTTCTTTTTCTAATTTAAATTTATATTTTTATGAAAATAATATATTACTTATACTAACATTATTCATATTCAACAAACAATAATTTAACATATATAATACTATGTAACTATTAATAAGCGTATATTATTATTCAAATGAAGACTTATACAATAAAAAAAATAATATAAAGATAATAAAAATATAAATTATAAGTAAATCTAAATTAATAAATATATTTTTATTTAATTATAAAAAAAAATATATATATATTTGTTTTTTACATAAAACTATAATTTCTGTATAAATAAACTTATTTAATAAAACATAAGATAACCTAATAATTATAATATATATATTTATATTGATTTTTAATAATAAATAATAAAGTAAATATGTTTAGAATTATAATAAAAAATTTCAAAAGAAACAACAAAAATTATATAGAAACATATTATATAAAATATAGAAATTTAAAAATAATGAAATTGCATAAATTAAAATTAAATCATTAAAAATTATAAAAATTAGCAAAAAATTAATTAATATAAGTATAAAAATATTTAAAAAAGTCCATAATTAAAAAAAATATAAATATAAACTTTTAAGTACAAAAAAATAAAATATATATATGAATAAAAATATAATAATAATCAAAATAAAAATAAAAAATTGAAATTTTTATTAATTCAATTATATTAAAAAAAACATATTTATATATATTATTGTTTTTATTTCATGAATTTTATTAAATATTTATTATAATTATAGAAAAAAAATATATTTTTAAAAATGTAAATTTTAATAATTATTTGAAATATAAATAAAGAAAAATAAAAATAAAACCTGTATATAATAAATCATACTATTTTATTCTGATATATATATATATATATAATTATATAAATATATAAATAT